CTCAGCTGCTGCCCGCCACAAAGCCTTCTCCACCTGTGCCTCCCACCTGGTGGTGGTGGGCATCTTCTACTCAGTCACTATCTTCATCTATGCCCACCCCAGCCGCATAGAAGCCATGGACCTCAACAAGGTGCTGTCGGTCATCTACACGGTGGTCACACCCATGTGCAACCCGTTCATCTACTGCCTGCGGAACAGGGAGGTCCAGGCGGCTTTCAGAAGAACCCTGCAGTGGTCCTGAGCTTGACCAGCTTAGCTGACTGAGGCTCAGTGGTTTTTAGTATGTGCACAAAGTGGCACAGTCATCATCTTTATCCACTTCCAGAGCAATTTCATTATTCCCAAGAGAGATCTGTACAAAATAGAAGTCACTTTCAATGTCACCCATATCTCAAGCCCTAAGACACTACTAATCTATTTCCTATCTCTATAGATTTGCCTGTTCTGGAGATTGTATAGAAATAGAATCAGACATACAGTGTGCAGCTTCTTAGGACTTTCTCCTTTTACCTAGCATAATAGTTTGAGGTTCATACATATTGTGGCACTATCATTTCTTCTAATGACCAAATAATGTTCCATTGTATGGATATAGTACATCTTATTTACTCACTCAGGAACTGATAGTTTCCACTTTGGGCTGTTATGAATTAATGTTGCTGTGAACACTCATTTATAATTTTAATGCATATACATTTCTAGTTCTCTTGTGTTTAAGTCCAGGTGTAGAATTAAGTCCAGGTGAAGAATATATGCTAGGTTATATGTTAACTCTATGATTACATTTTTAAGGAACTGCCAAACTATTTTCTAAAGCAGTCAATACCACCCTTTTAAGATGTGCTTTCAAGTCATATATGATGTGTATTTTAGGACAGATGGGAGGAGTTGTAAGTGAACAAATTATAGATAAAACAATGCAGATGACCAGTGACCCTAAAATCTTCACTAGTACTAGCAGAAATTTCTAACTACAATGAGTCACACCACAACTATACCACACTGGGGAAAATCGAAATGATTGTTACCACCTAGAGAGAGCTAAGGAGAGAGGGTCCTCTCATGTATTGCTGGTGGTAACATAAACTGTTAGAAACTTCTTGGACACCAAAGTCAGAGCAAATATTAAAAATTTTAAATTGTACTTGCACTTTGACCCAGCATCTCCACTTTTGCTGAAATCTCATAAGGAAATTAAACTATGAGTGTATAAAACATATATATAAGAATGTTTACTGCAGCATTGCTTTAAGTGAAAACCCGAAAGAATGTGAATATTCCTCAATGATAGGGATTGAATAAATTCTTGTACCTCCGAATTGTGAAATATGAAGTGATTTAAAAAAGAAGTAATAGCATCTCCATATATTGGTATAAGAACATAATACATTCATAAATTAAATGTAAGTTTACAGTAAAATTTGAATAATTTTTGAGTGAGAAACATTTAAACAAAAATTGTAAATATCTACATATTTTTCCATAAAAGTTTTCTAAAGAACAAAAACAATCCAAAGAGAATGAGTTTTTTGGTAAATTTCAGTAATAATAAAAGTTATTAACCAGAGCCGGGGATTTAGCTCAGTGGTTCTGCTGCCTGCCTCGAAAGTGCAAGGTCCCGAGTTCAATTCCTGGTACCAAAAAAAAAAGTTATTAACCAAAATTAGTTCAGTGTTTCTGTAGGGTAATTTAGGGAAGTGCACCTCATATGTGAGTGTGCATGAACTCTGACTCAGAATATAATTGTAAGAATTTTTGCACAGCAAACAATTTAAGATTAACTGAAAAAGATTTTATGTTCTTTTATTGAAAACCCTTTGGAAGAAACCTTTGCTTGACACTGCAGGGCCAATTACAGCTGACCCCAGCACACACGCAGCAGTGTCATGACTGCTTCCCGCCAGGGAAGAGGTCAGTTGTGCACTGTGATATGAAAAAGTCAAGTTAAAAAAGAGCCACACATATGGTAGCATAATGGTGTGTTAATTTTTACATGCAATGTGTGTCTGTACATAGGAAAGGATTGGGAAATCAATGACATAAAATGGTAATGAAGGTTGTCATGATATGGAAGATCTTGGGAGGCGTGGCTTTGCTTTTCATTCTGTTGTCTGTGTCAACAACCTGTGTTAAGCGTATAATGCTTTGTAATAAAATTATTTTGTAATATGAAAAATGATCTAATGTCTTTTGTCATAAGATTGAGCTAAATCTCCTTAACTAGGAACCGAACATCCCAGCTTCTGTCTCGGTTTCCGGCACCCTGGATCCACTGGACCCAGATGTGTCCTGCTCCCCATTCCGGGGTCACCTCCCACGTGCGGCCCCATCTGTGGGAACCGTGCCCGCCCTTGTCCTGCCCTTCAGCTCAGCTGCCTTCAAACCCAAACCCGGTTCACACTGCCTCCTTTACAGCGCTTCCCCTGGTCACCCGCACAGGAGGCAGACAGCTCCTGCATCCAGTCCTCTGTAGCCTCAGCGCACACAGGGGAAACCAAGACCAGGAAGTGAGTCCTGCAGAAGCCAGGGCCTCATGGCTCCCACTCAGAGCCACTGTTTGCAGCAGTGCCTGGCACACTTGAGGCGCTCAGTGAAGTTGCTTCCAGAAATAGGTGGATAATTCACTGAAGGAAGGTAGAGCTCTATTGGCCTTCATCTTTCCAATGACTTGTGGTGTAGCAACACCTACTGCTCCTCTGCAACTTTGTACATTGCAGAACATATGCAAAGCCCTCTGCATGAGTCATCAGATTTTACATCTCACTACAGGAGGAACTGAGGCTGAGACATCTTAATGTCTACTCCTCCTCGTAGTTAAGACTCACAGCCCCATCAAATCTCGGGCAGGAATGGAGATGCTCAGAATGGTTCCTAGGTGCATGGGTAGGAATGTGACAGGAGGATGAGAGGAGAGCATCGCCCTTCACACACACGCACACACGCACACACACACACGCACACACGCACACACACACGCGCACGCACACACGCACACACACACGCACACACACACGTCACCACCACCACCTCCAACCCTGGCCCCGGATTGGGAAGGAGGGTATGCTGGGCGATAAGAAGACCCATGGGTGGTAAGCACTGACCTGAAGCCACCCATGTCCACCTGGGACTGTCCTGCTGGGACTCTGAGAGGAGCTGAGTGTCATGCTAAAGGGGACACCAGCATTTAGAGCATAATGCCAGGCTGGGTCGGGGCTCCTCACCACCCTGGAGGCCTGGTGCCCGGGAGGAGGAAAGATACCCAGAGATTGCTGAGTCCTGCTCTTGCCACCCTGGGACCCAACCTCCTGTCGCCTCTCTGCCACGTCTTTTAAATGCACCGTGGATGAGAAACAGAAAGGAAGCTTCAGTGTACCGAGTATTTTGATGACAGACATGGGGAGCAGAGCCCTGTTCCTACTCCTAGCTAAGGAGTCCAGGGCCACAAGGAGCATGAGGTCAGGTGGGCAGTGAGGAAGCAGCAGCTGGGAGCTGCCACCTGTGTGACTTTGAGCCACCTAATGCACCTCTCTGAACTTCTGCTTCTTTGTCCTCAGCGGGGAGGGTGGCAGTGCTGATTGATGAGTATGTGAGACAAAATTTACGGGGCCCTCTGAACACAGCTCAGGGGAGCCAGGGAATTGCACCAGCTAACTCCATCTTCTTCCCACACAACTGGCACCGCACACTGGCATGGCTCACTTCCAGGCCACATGGTGCCACGAAGCACCGTCTCTTAGCGATGTGTCCACAGCCAAGCAGATGGCGGATCCCATGACATGGAGCCCACAGCGCATTCATCCTCTTCTCTTTGTGTTCATATCAATTACTTGCAGTTTATTTGTATTTCAAATGATGCCACAGCAAACATGTGGTACAGCTGTCTTTGTCCACACATCTGAATGTTTTGTGTTGTGCTGGAAACCTGGCTGATGCTATGAGAACAATGGTGCTGAAATTGTAGTGGCCTTGTTTAGCAGAAGTTTATCAGTCCATCCTGCTCTGTGTCCACTGCAAGTCTGTCAGTCTACCACCTCCCATTATGTACCACTTTACATTCCCTGGAAATAGTGGCCACACATTTCCCTGGAGACACTGTCTAAATGATTTACAGTGGTTACTCACTTCACCAACACTTCTTTTCGTGAACAATTCAATATATCAACCCATTCTACTTTCCTCAATATGTTTTATAGATATATCACTATAAGTGACCAAGGTAGTTGTGCCAGGATATCTGCATCGGTGTTTGAAACAAAAAAAATTAGTAATAGCATTAGTAAGGGACTTGGTAAATACAAGGGGACCCGACTTCAGGACATCCCCATTCTGGATTCTTCCTGCATCCTCCACAACCATTGGAAGATCACAAGCTCAAGCCAGCCTGGGCAGCTAGTGACTTAGCAAGAAGACCCTGTCTCAAAGTTTTAAAAATTAGAAAAGGATTGGTCGTGTACCTCAGTGTGAAGGCCCTGGGTTCAACCCCCCAGAACACATAAGCGAATAAATAAATAAATATGACACAGGTCTGCTCTGAGTAAATTCATCATCCAGTGATGAGAGAGAAAAGTAAACATTTATAATACAAAGTAATAAAAGCTGGATCTCTATCAGGAGCTAAGCATTTTTAGATTTAAAGGGGAAAGAGTGAATATTCATTGACTGCCTGGCCTGCATCCTTACTATGCTAGACCTGGACATATTTCGAGTTACTTTTCATACCATCTTTGGAAAGTCTGTGGGCCTCCACTTCCCGGCTGTTAATAGTAGCCATAGCTACCACTTACTGGGCACATAATAGGTACTAGAATCACAACAGGTGTCTCTGTACATGAACAGGATAAGACTTGCAGATACACATCACCGTCATTTTACAGATGGCAGCCAAGGTCATACAACTCTTGAAGGGCAGATCAGGAAATCAAATTCCTCCAAATCACCAGGCCACTTATGCAACTTGGCACAGAATCCAGAAGTTCAATCTCCTTACTGGGTACCCGCTGAGCCCCAGGCCCCTTCCCTGCCAACAGATTGCTCTCAGAGTGGGGAAGGGTCACGTGGGTGTCTGGAAAGGGAAAGGGTGAATGAGTGCTTCATGAGGAGGTGGGATTGACCTTGAAGGGTGAGTTAGATTTCATGGGGGGCGGAGGGGAGAACGCTCTTGGCAGACAGATCACCATGGACATTGTTGTGACGAGGGCAAAGCACAGCGCGCGCGCACGTGTGGTGTGTGTGTGTGTCTGTGTGTGTGTGTGTCTGTGTGAAGGGGGGGTACTGGGCACTGGGGATTGAGCCTAGGGCCTTTGCAGTAAGCTACATTCCTAGCCCTTATCTTTTTAAGACAGCGTCTCCCCAGTCATTAAGTTGTCCAGGCTGGGCTCCAACTTTCAGTCCGGCCTCAGCCTCCCAGTGCTGGGACCACAGATGTGCACCACCATGCCCGCTGCTTTAATTTCTTTGAGCTGGTAAAATTCTGACCTGTTATTTTTTTTATACTTACATTAAACAGAGATGACTTTGGAACACTTCAAAAAGGCTGAACTCATAATCCCTCCCACAAGTGTTTCCAAATTCAGGTCCTCCATCCCTCCGACACTAACATGTTACTTATAAGATGCCATAAGATGTTAGAGATGTCTGCTTCATGCTCAGTATCCCTCATTACCCTGGGAGTAAGAATGGCAGGAATTAAGTCTCATGCAGCTTTCTGATGTCGCTATCCAACAAAAGTTGTAGCACCTATTTAGGAATTTCAAAGTGCATTACAGTTGATTTGGAACCAATATTACCTTTGGGCCACCTTCCAAGCCTCATTACACTTTCATGATGTTTGCACTTGAATCTTTTCTCTAAATCCACAGAGATTAGTACAGCTCTCTGAGGTCAAGCTCTTGGATTTAAGCTGCCCTTCCACTTGCAACTGGGTGGAAGAACAGAACTATCTTGGCCACACAGAGAACACAGGGAGGAATGAGGAGAGGCTGCAGAGAACTGGTTGTGGAGGGCGTATGGCAACTGCTTTCAGCATGTCTGCATGGAGAGAAGTCTGTTAATTAGTCAAGTCATTGGACTTTTCACCTAAGTCCAGGGGCAGAAGCTGAATCTTTCTGGTCCCCAGAATCTTCACAAAGGAAAAGCAAGAACTGTCTCACCTGAGAGGTAAGAAAATAAGATCACTTAATTTGGGGGAAGAAAAAGAATACAAAAATGTTCTTTCCCCTATAAGATGTCTGTGGATGCTGGACAGGGCTTGGGGGCCAGACCTCACTGAAATCGATTGCGTGACAGCTGTAAGATGTCAGGGTCATCTCCAAACTGGAGGTGAAGATGTGGTGCTTACAAGATCACACCCCTGGTCTCGGGTCACAAATCAGTTGTAGACAAAGCTGGGCTAGAAGCAATTACATCAGATGTAATAGTTCTGTTCTCAATCTGATGACAGTACATTTCAAACTGAGATTCACGAAACCAACTGGTCAACACTAGCTCTAAAAATGACAGATCAAAATTTGAAAGGAGATATCAGAATGACTTAGATAAAGTAAGGGAAGTATTATGTTAGACCTATTTCATTATATAATTGGTGTGTGTTTGTGATAGTGATGCATTCACAGTGGAAAATATATTTATCTTGAGCCGTGGTAAAAAAATGTTTGAGCACCACTCTGCAATAATACGCCACATCTACACCAGCCAGTAATAGTACACAAGCAATAAATGAAAATTATGATTACATCCTGCCTTTACTCCCGAAACAGATGCTTTCTTCTTAAGTAACAAATAATTCAGGATTAGAGCGGTTAAGAATTTTACAGCCACACAGTCAGCAAGTTGCTGTCACGAACTCCTGGGGGAGGGATTCATGTCCATCACAAACATCTGTTGGAATCTAGACACAACTCAGGTGTAACAAGTGTTTGTACAATTGGCTTAAACATCTTTGAATTATTCCCAAATAGATCAGTGAATTTTAAAGCACACACCATTCATCAGTGGATTAATCAGGGGCATTCTAGGGCATCTGATATTATGAGAGAGGCAAAATAGCACAGAAAAGCTATGACGGAAAAGGAAAGTTGGTTACAGGGTTAGATATGAGGGAAATAGGGGCAGAGAAAGGGCCAAGGACAAACCAGGTCAGCGGAGGGAAGGAGTCTAGCTGTGCAGGGAGTCCACAGAAGGGAACTGTCAGGAAATTGTTCCAGTACAGAACAGTGCCGCCTTTGTACAGACCCGGTCGGTGGCCGGTCAGCATGGCCAGCCAGGAGACTGATCAGAGCCAAGCACATGCACCCAACCAGTGCAGAAGCTGGCCTGAAAAGGACGCACGCACAAACTGTGACCTTCACTGTGCCCTTCTGAAAATGAAGCATTGTGCTCCATATTTCTAAAAACTTTTTGAGAAATTTTTGCAGTTTTACATAAATGAAACCATACTATTTGCATAAACTTTCTCTTTTGTTACTCTTTAGTTCTTTGTTTCTGAGGTTGATCACTGATGTTAGATATGATTCATTCATCTACAAAATATTATCTATTATATGAATGGATCAAAATTTACTTAATTGTACTACCAGACACTTGCAATGTTCACAGGTTTTTTTTGTTTTTTCTTTTCTTTTTTTTTTGGGTACCGGAGATCGAACTTGGGACCTTGCGCTTGCGAGGCAGGCGGCGGCACCACTGAGCTAAATACCTGGCCCTTTTTTTTTCTTTCTTCTTGATAGTAAAATAGTGCTGCCATTAACATTACTCTGAACATAGGCTTGAAGGTAGAATTTCTGCTAGTCGTATGTTAAAATTTACTGGATAATGCCTTATTTCTTAAGAGACCATTCAATTTAGACTCCCAGAAACACTGTAGGAAATTCTTAATATATTCTGATGTTTACAGAATATATATATATAGTGACAACTGTATAGGTGTGAAATAGTATCTCACTTGGTTTTAATTTCTATTTTCTTGGTTCCTATTTACATGCTTTATTATTCTTTGGCAAAGCACACATTTATGCCTTCCTCCATTTTTTTACTGAAAAAATCATTTTCCATATCAATTAATCAAATTCTTTGTATAATTCTACATAGGGACCCATTGCCACTTACATGCTTTTCAAATATTTTCTAGGCTTGTGACTCTGAATGATTACAATTTTTAAACATTAAAATGGTTAAGGTTCAAGTTATATGTTCCTTTATCATTATCGTTTTCTATGTGCCCAAGGTCATAAAGATATACTTTGTATAATTTCTTTATTTTAGAAATATTTCATTTCCTACTTACATTTTTAGTTCATTGGAAAATGCCTTTTTTGTTATGTAGTGAGATACAGGTTCTCGATTTCTTTTTATTTTCCAACGTGGCCAGTTATCCATGAACAATTTACCAAAAACTCCATTGTCTTTCCCACTGATCTGCAATGCATGTTACGTCGTAAGTCTGAAAGCACGTGTTAGTGCGTTTCTGGACTTTATTCCATTCCTTTGCTTTTATTGTTTACATGTGGAAGTTAATTTTCATGGAAGATGTTTAACTGTCTCAAACACCTTAGTAACATAGAATGCACCGGTGTGGGGGTGTGGTTCCAGGGCAGCAGATTTTGCTCAATACATGGATGAGAAGAAACCTGATATCCTCTCCTTCCTCCTACTGCTGTATCCTTGATCCACTTGCTTTATTTTCCTCAGAGGCTAGGTTCCTTCCTGACTCTGGTTGTCTTTTATTGTTGTTTTGCCTCTTTCCTGACCCAGCTGCAATACTCTTCCTCCAGCTGAGTTCAGCTATTCTTTACCAAGAATGAGCTGCAACAAGCACTCTCTGACTTTCTATCCTAAAATAGCCTTCTTCAGAACTGGCCAACCACACTCCTATTTTGCTTTCTTTAGCATTCATCCTCCAAAATGTTCTCATGCTTATATTTGTCCTTTTATTTTCCTCCTCTATCCCTACATGGAATATAAATTTCAAAATGTCTGTGCTTGCTTCAGCGGCACATATACTAAATTTCAAAATGTCACTGTTCTTTTCTGACACATGGTTCCTAGTGTTTATCAACAAAATATTTGCCACTGAATGCAACTGGTAAGCCAGAGGAAAGCCCAAACACTCTACTCTCCGTGTTTCAAGTTGTATCCCGTGTTAATGGCAAAGGATCCTATTTCTACAGCTCCATCTATCTGAAGAATTTACTGCCTGTGAGCTCCATTACAGTCATGTATGCATAGTGCTAATTTGTGTAGGGTAGTGAAAATAAACTGATTTCTATGTGCTTTGAAAACCCAGCACGTAAATGTTCACTGTATGTATTCATAGTTTCTTTCCTTTAATAAGAGCTGTATTATCTTTCTGGAATGAATTGCCTTTACAAATAATCAGAGAGAAAAATCTCTGGGCCAGTGATTTAGCTCAGTGGTTCCACCGCCTGCCTTGCAAGCACAAGGTCCCGAGTTCAATCCCTTGTACCAAAAAAAGAGAAAATCTCTTACTGGTTGTTTTAGAAAAACTCACTGCTGATACATTTTTTTAATAATCACTGGCAAATTTCCTTCAGTATCTAACCCAATTAAGAGAGGTACACCGAGACCAAGAGAATTGCTGAGTCTTCTTTTATTTAAAATAGTGCACATGACCTCCAGGATATTGGGAAATTTTTGAAAAATAAAGAAATCCAACCTAGAAAAAAACACTTAAAGTAAAAGTAAGATAGTAACCATTACCCCTTGCTTTATAAGGCACCTTCTCATCTACTGTCGTGTTTAATATTCGTAAAAACTAAGGATTTCATGAGGATAGATTCACCTCCATTTTACATAGTAACTGAGACTCATAAAGCCTGAATGTCTTGCATAAAATGCAGCTGTGGTAAGCAGAGGTCAAAGTTTTCCATAATTGGTTTTACAATTTCCTCTCTGCACGTTGCTGTCCTTGCTGACAGTAGTGGCGAAGTGGCCCAGAGCAAACTTATCCAGGCCCCATAGGTATCCAACCATACATGCTCTTCCTTTTCAACCCTTAGATGTCCATATGGATGACGTTCTCTACAAAACAACTTCTTCCTTCGCTTAGATGGAGTGGTCTCTGGAATTCACTAACAGATCTGGCAACCAGGACTTTATCCTCCTGGGTCTGTCCGCCAGGCCACGCACCAGAGACGTCCTCTTCGCTGCATTCCTGGCCCTCTACCTGCTGATCCTCCTGGAGAACACGCTCATCATCTACCTCACCTGCAGCTGTTGCGAGCTCCGCAAGCCCATGTACTTCTTCCTGGGCAACCTCAGCGGTCTGGAGCTGTGCTACGTGTCGGTGACCATGCCCACGCTGCTCGCGGGGCTGAGGGCGGGTGTTTGCCGCGTGTCCTTTCCTGCCTGCATGGCGCAGCTCTTTCTCTTCCTGGCCCTCATCGGTACCAAGTGCACGCTGCTGGCCTCCATGGCCTACGACCGCTACGTGGCCGTCTGCCTCCCGCTGCACTATCCACTGCGCATGCGGCCCCCGGTCTGCCGGGGCCTGGCCGCGGGCTCGTGGCTGGGGGGGCTGGGGGTGTCGGCGGCCCGGACCGCGTGCGTCGCCCGCCTCACCCGCTGCGGGCCGGGCGTCCTCAACCACTTCTTCTGCGACGCCGGGGTCCTGCGCGGCGGGGCCTGCGGGCCTGCGGCTGGGGCGAAGCTGGCCGACGCCCTGGCGGCCGGGGCCGTGGTGGGCGGGTCGCTGCTGGCCGCCCTGGCCGCCTACGCAGCCATCGCGGTCGCCGTGCTGCGCCTGCCCTCGGCCGCCGCGGCGCGCAGGGCCCTGGCCGCCTGCGCCTCGCACCTGGCCGTCATGGGCGTCTTCTACTCCGCGGTGCTCTTCGTGGACTCCCGGCCGGGCCGAGGCCACCCCGCTGACCTCAACAAGGTGCTGTCGCTTCTCTACACGGCGGTCACGCCCGCGTGCAGCCCGGTCGTCTACTGCCTGCGCAACCGCCAGGTGCAGGCCGCCCTGCAGAGGGTACTTTGCCGCCGCGTAGGCTCTCGCGAGAACTGACAAGATCGCGGGAAATTACCGGCTCTGGAGAGTGGACGAGCCCGCCGGAACACGTGGCCCCGCAGAAGCTCTCCCTGGAAGCAATGGCCGTGCACGGATCATTGCCTTGCAAAGAATCCTAATATGCAGATATTCCTGATGTAAAACACGTGTGTGACTTTCAGTATCCAGTAGGAGCCTCCAGAATGTATTTGCAACATTATGAACAGCCTCTTTAAAAATCAGCATGAATTGAGGCCATACTCTTAAGTGAAATATACAGGACACACGTGTGAATACCGAATAGTTTCTATGTTGTGAAAAACTAAAAACGGAAATAAGGATCAAAATGTATAATTGATATTGCGAAATAGGAAGAAAAGATCTAAAGGAGTAGGGGTCGTGGAAGGGGTAGGGGAAAGGAAAGAAGGGAAAAGAAAAAACATGAGAAAAGGAAAAAATGGAAACAAAGTCTTTTTAAATAGGGAAGGGTGGAGGAGGTGAAGGGCGGGCAGGGGAATGGGGAAAAAATAAGAACCAAGATACAGCATGTAAAGGTACAAGTACCCAATGATGAATGTAACTGTATTGTATACCTAAAATGTACCACACCACTTAATGAAAAATAAATAAATAAATCATTATGAAAATATAACTATTCCAAACCAAAAAAACACAGGAAAATAGACATGAATAAGAATATTACTCATGAAGAAACATAACCAGCTGATAGCCCATAGAAAGATGGAAAACGAAATCTCTGAATATGAGAAGTGCAAATGGGAACAGAAGACTGCATTTTCCCCTCTGCATACAGATGTATAGATGCATAGATGGCTATGTGCTATACACATATATTACATGTTTTGTGTACACATATGTGTGTCTGTATATATCAGGTGTGTAGGAGAATGTCAGGGCAAAACTGTGACATTTGGAATAAACATTTTTCAAATGATTGGAAAAAAATGTCCAACAGATTATTTAAATATATCCGTATTGTGAAAATTTTACATTCATTAAAGAAATGAGACCTCCGGTTGTTGACATGGAGTGACTGCCCAGGTGAGTTGTTGAGTTGAAAATAAGAGAAGCAGAGCTGGAGAATCTGATGAGGGTGAAGTAGGGAGGGAGAAGGAAAGGGAAAGAGGACAGGGGAGAGGGGAGATAGCCCTCACCTGCCCCTCCTGAGAAATGATGTCACTTTCAGGCCAAGCATCAGGCCTGGGGCCTTCCATACCTCTCTCTTGAGGGTGGCTAAACAAGCAAAACATTGCACCTTTTCCAAGGGAGCTCCTGAGCACCTACGCTTGCTTAGCAGAACCGTTCCCACTGCAGGGGACATGCAGCAGAGTTATTAATGTGTGATCTGGGGAATGGGATATGTTGCTGCCAGTTGTTTTGGAAAGAGTTTGTAGAATCTGTGGATGCAGCTCCTTAGCTGTCCTGAGCTGTGTGCAGAGAACCTTTACCTGCCCTGAACTTGAACATGGACATGGGTGGCTTCAGGTCAGGGCTCACCACCCATGGGTCTTCTTATTGCTCAGCATACCCTCCTTCCCAAGCCTGGCCCAGTGTCACATTCCTACCCATGCACCTAGGAACCATTCTGAGCATCTCCTTTCCTGCCTGAGATTTGATGGGGCTGTGAGTCTTAACTACGAGGAGGAGTAGACATTAAGATGTCTCAGCCTCAGTTCCTCCTGTAGTGAGATGTAAAATCTGATGACTCATGCAGAGGGCTTTGCATATGTTCTGCAATGTACAAAGTTGCAGAGGAGCAGTAGGTGTTGCTACACCACAAGTCATTGGAAAGATGAAGGCCAATAGAGCTCTACCTTCCTTCAGTGAATTATCCACCTATTTCTGGAAGCAACTTCACTGAGCGCCTCAAGTGTGCCAGGCACTGCTGCAAACAGTGGCTCTGAGTGGGAGCCGTGAGGCCCTGGCTTCTGCAGGACTCACTTCCTGGTCTTGGTTTCCCCTGTGTGCGCTGAGGCTACAGAGGACTGGATGCAGGAGCTGTCTGCCTCCTGTGCGGGTGACCAGGGGAAGCGCTGTAAAGGAGGCAGTGTGAACCGGGTTTGGGTTTGAAGGCAGCTGAGCTGAAGGGCAGGACAAGGGCGGGCACGGTTCCCACAGATGGGGCCGCACGTGGGAGGTGACCCCGGAATGGGGAGCAGGACACATCTGGGTCCAGTGGATCCAGGGTGCCGGAAACCGAGACAGAAGCTGGGATGTTCGGTTCCTAGTAACGAGGTTCAACTCTGTCTTATGGACAAAAGAGAGACAGGAGGTATGATTAGAATGTTTAAATTTTTAAAAAATTATTCCAATAAAAGGAGGAATTGCCATGAATCCTCCTCAAAATTCTCCTCTTTGAACATACCTATTGCATCACTCTTGTTAATTTCTGAAGCAGTTCTGGAAGTCCTCTTTTAGAAGAATCTTTAGTAACATGGTCATGGCTTCCTTGGTTCCCTGAATTGATTCAAAATGTTTTCCTTTCATGGTCATTTCCACTTTGGGAAAGGGCCGGCAGTTTCACGGTACCAGATTCAGTGACTAAGGTGGATGAGCATACAGCATCATGTTTTTATGAGCTGCCTTTCCTTTGGACGGTGCTCAGCAGAAGCATTCACCGTAGTTTGGATCACACCTCCTAAAGGCACTCATGAGAGGGCTCCAGGAGTGCTTCAGAAAGTGACAAGAAGGGTGGGATAAGTGTATTCAAGTGACGGGGAATATTTTGAGAGGGATTATGGCAATGTGACTTTTACTGGAGTACATTTTTAAAAATTTAAATATTCACCTTGTATAATAATCACCCCTTGTGTAAGGTATTTTTAATGTTAAAAAATAAATTTTACTAAAAAGCAATTATGTGCCCACAGAAACTGACAGTAGGAAACAAATTGTATTTTTTTTTTTTTTGGTACCGGGGATCAAACTTGGGACCTTGCACTTTAGAGGCAGGCGTGGAACCACCAAGCTAAATCCCCAGGCCGGGAAACAAATTGTAAAACAAAGCCTCCCGTGGTTCTCTGCATCATGATGACCAGCATTAAAATCTTGTTAATATAAAAATCTTATTAATAGCAAAATCTTACAGATTTCAAACCCTTTCCTACAAACACATATACACATTCCACTAGAAAAGTAAAATACAACTACAGTGCAATACTGGTTTTAGCCAATGTTTCCTTTCACAATATAAAAACTCATTTCACAGGACATCATTGGATTTCATTGTGTGTTTGTGTGTGGTTCGGCTCTCTATGTTAAATTAGAGATTTATTCCAATAGTTTTTCATTAAAGCATAAAATATCCTGAATATTTTCACACCCAAATAGTTTCAAGCATCTTAAATCTTTTTCTTTGCAAAAATTGCTAATTGCGGTATTCTCACAAGGTCCGTGCACATTCTGGTTTTCTGTGGGTAGTGGCAAATGGCCCTTCAAAAACAGTTTTCCAGTTTGAGTTAATACCTTTTGTAACTACTGACATTTACAAAAAGTGTTCTCTCTTTAGTTTTGAGTATGTATTCTGAAGTCTTTGCCAACATTTCTAGACATATAGAAAGTTTTTCTTTCCAAAAATATTTTAATAGTAACCACAAAGGCTTTATTTCCTCTTTGTAAAAGCAAGTGTCATTTCTTCCTGAATTATTTCAAATGAAAATTTATTTTAAAATTTGCTCTGGAATTTACAAGTATATCATGCCCCCATGGCAAAACAGAGATATAAGTAAATCTTTAAAAAATAACTTAAATATTTCACAATACATAGATACTATAATTTATTAAATCATTATATTATTAAATGTAAAATGTTTACATTTTTTCCAGTTTGGGCCACTGAACACATTTCTAGAACAAGTATTCTTTTTGGGGGGGGGGGTACCAGGGATCGAACTCAGGACCTTGTGCTTGTGAGGCAGGCGGTGGCACCGCTGAACTAAATCCCCAGTCCTAGAACAAATAAGCTTATTTGACTATTTTTACAAGCTTTCATTTTCCTCAGAGATGTTCGCAGGATTGGAAGTTCTGGGTTGCGTGCAAACACATTATCATTTAGCAGATACTAAGAAGCTGCTCTCCAAGACAAGTCTAACAGTTTATGCCTCCTCCAGCAATATATGACAGCAATACCCACTTTTCAATGCCTCCTTGGTTTTAGTGTAAAAGTCATTTACATTTTCCCAATGATATTGTGACAACATAATGCTATGGTATTGACTACTTTGGAAAGGTATAACATAAACCCTTGGGCATAAAATCAAGAAAAGTAGAAACATCCATTCAAAAGCTGAACACAACTGTTCCCAATAGGATTAATCCATAGTATCTCAAAGTGGAAACAATTCATATGTCCATCAACTGGTGAATGAACAAATAAAATATCATATAGCCATATAATGGACTGTTACTTGGTCAGAAAAAGGAATGCATTAATGATGCATGTTAAAATATGCTGAACCTCAAAACATGCCACATGAAAGAAGCAACTCACATTAGACCACATATTACATTATTCCATTTCCAAGAAATGTCCAGAACAGAAAAATCTATAGAGATGGAAAATACACTGTTGGTTTCCTACGTCTGGGTGTGGTAGGTGTATTGAGAAAGACTGCTAATTGTATGTATTTTACTTTGGGAGAAATGACAGCTTTCAGGAATTAAGTAGTGGTGATGGTGCATGCTTTGTAAGTATAATGAAAAAAATCACTGAATTGTGCATGTTTAAAAGATGAAGTTTATAGTATGTGGATTTTTATCTCAATAATGAGTAGGCTGTTGCTAACTTTAGGTCACCCCAAACACACAGGTTGGTCAGCTGGTCAAGCTCAGGACCACTGCAGGGTTCTTCTGAAAGCCGCCTGGACCTCCCTGTTCCTCAGGCAGTAGATGACCGGGTTGCACATGGGTGTGACCACCGTGTAGATGACCGACAGCACCTTGTTGAGGTCCATGGCTTCTATGCGGCTGGGGCGGGCATAGATGAAGATAGTGACTGAGTAGAAGATGCCCACCACCACCAGGTGGGAGGCACAGGTGGAGAAGGCTTTGTGGCGGGCAGCAGCTGAGGGCATGCGGAGCACAGCCATGGTGATGGCCATGTAGGAGGCCATGGTCATGAGGAAGCAACCCCAGAGAATGATGATGGCTGAGATGAAGTCCACCAGCTCTGTGAGGGCGACGTGGGTGCAGGACAGGTTGAGCAGAGGGGAGACGTCACAGAAGAACTGATTGAGGACGTTGGGACCACAGTAGGACAGGGTGGCGATGCACGTGGTCTTGGCCACAGAGACCACCAGCCCACCCAGCCAGGAGGACAGGGCCAGGCCCAGGCAGACCTGGGGACGCATGAGCAGTGGGTAGTGCAGT